GGAGTGGGGGTGGGGGTGAGCTAAAGCTAGCTGGCTAGCCCAAGCCAATCATCCCGGAGACTTTTTGACGTTGTCACCCGGCAAACCCCAACCCGAATGTTTCGTCTGTCATGAGTCCGACCGGGTGCTCCCATGTGAACGGTTATAAGGTGGACAATTGGAAGCAAAACCTCCGCGTCATATACCAATGCTTTGTTTGGAGTAGCACTGCCGAAACCAGGAGACGTAAGGTAAACAACAACACCAACAACAAGTGAAATGACGTTTGCCTGCGCTGCCCTCGTCTGCAATTTACTGTGAAGTTAACGTGACACAAAGTGGCGCTGGTGGTTGGTGAGGGGGGCACTGTGCACGAGTGCAAAATGATGCATCGCCACACCAATCAGCGGACGTGCTCCAACAAAAACACAACGTCGCCAGTAGTGGTCGAGTTAGCCAGCTCGCCGGTCAGCAACGGCGATGCTCCCTTTGCGGCTAAAACGCGGCACTTTTCATTCAGGCGACCATCGCCGTTGAGGTCAGTCAGCCGAAAAGGCTGCGAACTCAGGGATCACTAGACGGATTTGGGGCGGGCGGTGCCGGGAGGGGGGGGGGGCATGACCACATCAAATGGAGCCCATTGTGTTTGTTGCTCGCGCATGCAAATCAGACAGTGCCGCAACGCTCACGACATGTGCCCCAGCTGGCCGCTCGCTTTGCCTCAATGTCGCCAATTGGCTAGTCCCTGCCGCTGTCTCGTGTCGGTTGATCTGCCTCGGGTTGTGCTGTGCAGCCAGCCTTGTGAGTGTCACACATTTGTATTTTGTTGTGATAAAATAGGTGCTTCAGGGTGATGCGGGACGGACAGAGATGGTGAGTTGAGTGGATGCGTCTCCTCCTCCGACGCATCTTTCTGCTCTGACTCTCCTCCTCCTCTTTCCTCCTCCGACGCATCTTTTTGCTCTTACTCTCCTCTCCTTCGTTTGTGGTAGTTGAACTGATCAGGAGCTGGCTTGCTTACTCTCTCATTCCTACACCTGTGCCTGTGGCTCATTTCCATGACCAGTAATCTTCACGAATCTCTTATTTTTTGACAAAACATATATCTACTACTAAAAAAGACACTGGACACGGGCTGCAAGGCTAGTTCAAAAAGGTGAAGGTGGACAGAGTGCGAAACGAGGCTGGACTGTCAAACATTTCTCGATTATTCAAAGATACAAAAGAATGACACACTTGACTGTCGTGAATCGAGGTCATTCCGTTCGGAACCAGTTTCTTCCACTTTGTGTCGTATGGCCGATGGATGAAGACATCACACCAATGATCCTCAAGTCACGCTTTGAAAAATGCTCACCTGACTCCAGTTTGTTCTTTTTGGGGGGTTCTGAATGTGGCGATTCGGCCGCTGTTAAGTGCAGAGCCGGACCTATTCTGTGGGATAGAGGGCTGTCGGCCACCCCAAAAACTTGGAAAACTCCCAAACGATTTGCCTGAACACATTTAGCTGAAAGCTGACGAACGACACAAACAATCTCGGTTTGCCTTCTTGACTGACTTGAGCGTGTTTCCAGAAGTTGACGAATTTGAAAGCGGGCCTTTCGCCCTTGCGTTTTTCTGTCGGCGGCCCTCAAACGAAGCCGCCCGTCTCTTTGCTCTGTCTCCTTTCCCCAGGCCAAGTCCTGCATCTGTCACATGTGTGGCGCCCACCTGAACCGACTTCACTCTTGTCTCTACTGCGTTTTTTTCGGTTGCTTCGCCAAGAAACACATCCACGAGCACGCCAAAAACAAGAGGCACAATCTGGGTAAGGACTGGGAGCGGCTTGATCTCACGCTTGCTCGTCTTGCCGTCGTGATTCAGCGTAAGCGGGATGGTCACACGCGGGACCCCTGACCGAACGGGGAAAGGATTGGCAAGTCAACAGCCGCAATTGGTAAAGCCCGAGCCGTTTGAAAAATATCTGCTCGCCGAAGCGATTTCACGTCACAATCACGGACTCTGGGATTTTGCCCATCTCGCTGTTGACCGCTCACATTGCGTCGGGCGAGACCAGGTTCAACACAAAGACTTGATCCTGATCGGGGGGCGATTCCGTGCGCGAGGAACACGAGCCGCTCTCCGACTGCCACCTGCCCGCCGTTTAAATCGGAGCGAGCCGAGCCATTTTCGCTTTTGCAAACAACGACTTCATTTTGACGGCGGCGCATCATTAAATATTGAAAATGCAATTAGATCCGTGAGTCGGTGCCGTTTGCCCGCATTGCGCGCTCCACCGCAACGGCCGTGCAACGCAACATCAAGCGAGCAAGCGCCGGCTGCGTTTCCCGGCGTGGGCAGCGCCCAAAATGTACCGATCCCTCTGTCGACTAAAAATAGGTTGTCGCAGCAACGGAGCCCGAGGTGTCGTTTGAGAACGGAGGAGGCTGACCGGTCGCGGCTGCAAACGCGGGGTAGCGACGGGGGGGGCGCCGATTCCATTCCGTCCTCTCGCCGCCGATTGTCGCGCCCGAGCACGAGATGGGCAAAGAGCCGACCGAGTGGGAATATTAGGCTGAGAGTGGTCTCGAGTGCTCTAAGGCCTCTTGTCTGTTACCGTGTTGTAATTATGGCACCCCTCCCTCCCGTCCCCCTGCCCCTCCTGCTTCCAGCTGTAGACTTATTATACGGCGGAATCTATTGTTTTGTGTGTCAAGACTACATCTACGACAAAGAGATGGAGCAGATTGCCAAAGAGGAACAGAGGAAAGCCTGGAAATTACAAGGTAGAAAGCCCTGCCGGTTTCTCTCTTGCACGAGCTCTGGCCCCTTCCAAAAATCATACTGGGGAAAGACAAAAAAGAAAAAGGAAATGTCATCCAACATGGCCAGGCCATGAAAAGGACAAAAAGTGGCATTATTGCTCATTCTTTTCCGAAAATAGGAAGGAACATCCACATTTCCACTCAAATAAATTTATTTATTTATTTATTTATTCATTCATTCATTCATGCTTTTCCAGATAGACACATTTTTTTTGGGGGGGGGGTCATATTTCAAATTTTTCTTACTTGCCATCAATGAATGATTTTTTCCTCCAACAATTGTTGCTCTATTTTAACAATTCATTCTTGTTCTAAAATTCCAGCATCCTTGTCATAAAGTTTGTCAAATTTTCTTCAGGGATCTTTGATAGCATTTTTTTGAGAGCGAGTACCCGTCTACTGTGGGGAGAAAAGAAAAAAGTGAGCGCAGATCATTTTCAAGCACTACTTCCCCAAAAGCATTTTTTCCTTAGACTTGCATGAAATCTTGTTTCCATTTAAGCATAAAATAAAATACCGACACAATAAAATGATTAAAAAAAAAAACAAACGACAACAACAACAACAACTCAATCAATAATCTGAAACAAATAATCCAGCGGTCAGAAAAAGTGGCCATTTGCCAAACATGCCCACCTTTTGGTCTTCCAAAAAACGGCCACAGGAGCGTGAGTAGGGATTCCTGGAAATCAAGATCACGACTTGCCTCTTCCTAATTCGACCTTTTTTCTTGTCCAGCGATGCACATTGAAATGAGCCCTGATTCTGTGAAAATTCCACTTGACTCTCCTCAAACTAGATAGCTATTAAGTAAGCAAAAAATAAAATCCCGACACAATAAAATGATTAAAAAAAAAAACAAACGACAACAACAACAACAACTCAATCAATAATCTGAAACAAATAATCCAGCGGTCAGAAAAAGTGGCCATTTGCCAAACATGCCTACCTTTTGGTAGGAGCGCGAGTCGGGATTCCTGGAAATCAAGATCGCGACTTGCCTCTTCCTAATTCGACCTTTTTTTTTGTCCAGCGATGCACAATGAAATGAGCCCTGATTCTGTGAAAATGCCACTTGGCTCTCCTCAAACTAGATAGCTATTAAGACCCTTGCGGAATTCATTTGGA